GGAGTTTTGGAATATTTTTAAGTTTAAAAACACATAAAATTTATCAGGTAAGAGTGCACTTAACTTCACAGAGGTGGGAATGCACGCTGCGATCCTGAATCGGCGGTTAAAGAGCCATGACATGAAATCCTTTTTGGTGAATTACAAACTAAAAAGTGGGTACCGGATAAAGATAATTTAATTAGTCTAATTTAATATTCATGTAACTGGGTCATTAAGTCAACAGTGGAAATCTCCACTGGGCCGAATCTGAATGGGGAAAAGAAACTACACGGTAGGTCTTGATGAGTTCTGTCCTGCCGTCCAGGGTACCCAGTATCCAAGTGTTCAGGCCTGGTTAGCAGCAAGGAAGTTGGTAAACCCTCCCAAGCCAAGGAAGACATAGGGCTCTGCAACTTTGGACTTATGTATATAAATGTGTATATAATTTATTTTACTTATTTTTAAATTAATTGCATAGCTCATTTCAAGGCATATTTAAATATAAATTCATTTTGTTAATATTTGCTTTATTTATTTTTTTGCTCATATAAATGTTCAGTATTTTTCATAAATTAAAGATTATCATGCACAAGCTACAAAATTTTATACTACTTATGGCCAACGTGGATGTAGGCCTTATTTAGTTGTGTAATGTATTATGTATATTTATATTGTACATTTGTATTTCCTGGCACATATCTGAGTACATTTTTACCTTGTGCATATTCTCTTTTATATACTGTTGCATAGTGATTTTATTTGTATAGTTATTAATTTTTTTTTGTACATATTTGTGCATTGTTATATGTGTAATGTAGACTTACCTGCAGATGAAGGCAGAACGGCAAAACGGAGAGAAAACTCCACTTCAGCTGGACAGAGCATGGAAAAATCCTACCCCCCCCCACTTCCTTCCATACAATTCCCAACATTCATAAAGGGAGTGGGGTTGGGCAGCCCGCTCGCAGCATTTCTTGCAGTCTGTCATTTTTTTTTTTAAGATATTGTAATATTCTTAGTAAAAACTTGTAATTTTAATTGCATTTGTAGAATATATGACATAGTCCTAGTGCATACCAATTACAGTTATATTTGTCAAGTATAGCATCAGTTGGCATTTTAAAAAAAAATTTTTTTTGTAAATCTGTATAAATTTCGTTCTTTTTAAAGTGAACAAATTTACTTTTGTGTTGATAGAATACATGTTTATGTACTTACCTTATATTTCTATAACATATTTTATTTCATAAGTCAATCTTTTTGCTAGATATTTTCAATTTGGTTTTTAAAGAGTGGAAATGTATTTTTTTTAAATGGAGGCCTATCATACTGTTATGCTGTACATAAAACTTAATATTTTTTTTAGTGTAAAACGTTGTTGTTTTTTTGTATGGTGATAACTTTTTTTTACATACTAGTGAAAATAGTTTTTTTTGTTAAGTACATGCATGCCACTGTAATATATGTTCTGTATTTGACTGTAATAAACAATGTTATTGGGAAAAGAACGATGTTTGTTCAGTTGTTGCTCTTTTTTCTCCCTCTACTCTTCTTCCTTTCACTATTAACATATAAAAATTAATTTTTGTGGATTAGGGATTAATATCAATAAGTAGATTTTCTAATTAAAAATGAAAAAATATTCATTTCAAATACCTCAAAGTTAATGGATTATGCTTTCTTTTATGAAATGCTTTGCAGAATAGAATAAATAGAATTTTAGATCCAAAATAAAAGTTAAAAAAATAAGAAAACTATATGCTTTCAGTTTAAATTTCTGCTCCAAACAGGTAACTTCAAATGCCGTTAAAAACTTTCAAATATCTTACTCAAGTTATTTAACCATTTTTTTATTATTTTTTGGTGTAAGGAGCCTTTTTAAAAAGTTTTTAATCCTATTTATAATCTAGTGAGACTCCCCACGGGGATAGGACGGTCTAAAATCTTGTGGAATGCAGTCTTATTATTTTTTCAAATACGCCTGCAGTACCTTAAAATTGTCACTTACTATAGGACACCCATTTACCAAATGGTCAAGCTACACCAGAATGTCGCAATTTCTATTATTTGTCATAATTTTCTTTTTTTCTTCAGTTTTTTTTTCATTTTTTATTTAAAAAAACGAAAAAAAAAAAACATTTTACGTAATAACTTACTTGAAAAAAATACTCGCCTGTTGTACCTTGAAACTTTCACTGTAATTTCTTTAAATTGCAATCATTTCAGTAACAAGGACAACACTGTATCAGGGTTCATATCTTTGCTTTATTAGCGCTTCATTTTCATTTATTTCTTACTTGTTTTTTTCTCATTTTTTATTTAAAAAAAAACTTTAAAAAATCACCATTTGTACTTTAAAATGTGTACTTTAAAACTTCCACTGTAATTTCTTTAAATTGCAATCATTTCAGTAACAAGGACAACACTGTATCAGGGTTCATATCTTTGCTTTATTAGCGCTTCATTTTCATTTCTTTCTTTTTTTTATTCCTTTCAATTTTTGTCTTTTCGGTACGTCATGCCCATAAACGCATAGGTCAAGGTCACGTTAACCAATTAAGGCCCGTGGGGTGGATCGACCACCAGGGGGGACTTTGGGGTACTTCTTTTTTTCTTGGGGGCCACTTTCATGAAATTTCGCATTTTTTGCGTTTTTTTCCTTTTTTTTCGTACTTTCCTGGGCTCAAAGATTGCGTGGTATTTTTTGCGCATGAGCCAAATGCCTGCTTTTCGGTAATCGGTACCAAAAAAGGGACGAATTCTAAATGTGATTTTTAGTAAAACCTATGTCTTTAGTGTCCAAATATGTATGATAGCCTTTTCATACTGGTAGCTTTTTGTGAGCTATCACCCCTTATATAACTCCACCCCTGCAGCAGCAAGGGCTTTTTTCAGATGGGGGTAGGGGAGAGAAAATGCTTACTATATCTATATGGTAACAGGTATATCAATAAATTGTATATCCTTATGGAGGCAAGGGATGGCACAATTAATTTCAAAAGTCATGAATGCACGACAATTAAAGGGTCATTGATAATGGGTCAAATATCACAAGAGGTCATATTTTATGGATTTTACACAAATTAAAACCAAAATCTTTTAAACATATTTTTTGAGAAAGAAATTGCTATTTGGTGAATGATTCGTAAACATGGTATAGCTTTACACTTATGAACAAATTTTTTTTTATTTTAGAAAATTACATAACTGGTTAAATGTGAACCTTACGGTCATAATATGCCCTCTATGAAATTGGGGGTAAGGGAGAGAAAATGCTTGCTTCATTGATATGGTTGAAGATATACCAATGCATTATATATCCTTATGGAGGTAAGGGATGGGACAGTTTATTTCATAAATCATTTATGCATGACAATAACGTACATCCCAGCCTATTTCATTGTCCAAAAAGTAGGATTTTTTGTCCCAAAAGTAGGAGAAAAGTAGGAGGAAATTAACACACAAGGCAGCAAAGCTGTGAAATGTACAGACAAAAAGTGGAAATAATAATGCATAAAATAGGTTAATGTTAATTCTGATGCAATAATACATTATGTTTAACTGCAAAGTCAACATAAAAATTTAATTATGCACAACAGGTAATACAGAAGTAAGTAAAATGCATAACAAGCAAAAAGTTTCAGGACCATGAGAGTTCAAGTTCACACAAATGCCAGAAATAGAACAATTTATTAATTCATTATTCAATAAAAATCATAATCCAATAGAGCTGTACGGCAATCCTAAGAATCATTCTTGTAAGTTAAGAAAATAAAGTAACACAGTTTTCTTTTCATAATGTTTGTGGTGGCAGTGCACAAAGTAGGTTTTTTATGTGTGGAGACTTGGATTAGACAACTTGTCTGTGAAAGCAGTATGCAAACAAGAAAACAATCCTCTGAATATTTAATAATGAATGATTTAATATCTATATGTACACGTATGTATGACAAGGTGAAAGATGTATAAGACTGTAGGTTGAAAAGTACTGTCTGCAAAGCTAAATTATAGATTGTTATTTAAAATTTTTCATTTTGCACTCAAACTGACATATCTGTGACAATTAAATTTTGAAAAATAGCTTTTCTGGAGCTGTAACTGAGAAGTAAAGGTTATGAAAATATTCTACATAGCTTGCTAGCTTGAAAAATGAAAAGAAACAAACAGTACAGATTGTCCACAAAAAGTAGTAGAATTGGTATGTCAAACCTCAAGAGCTGAAAAATTATGAACAATACAAGGAGGAATTAAAAACAAAAACATTCATAAGGCAACATATTAACACATAAAAATTACTGATTATTGATCCAGATCACCACCAAACTAATCACTTCTAAGTAAACCCATTTCTGACCTAAAAATTCCATCAAAATTCATCCATAACTTTTTTGAGTTATGTTGATGACACACAAACAAACAAACAGGGGTGAAAACATAACCTCCTTGGCAGAGGTAACAAACTTTCTCTAATTTTCCATCGTTTTTTCTTAACCTTTCTTCACACTATAACAGACATATACAAGAGCTTTTGGGACGGAATCGTTTTACTACAATAAAAGTACAAGTTATAATATACTGCTTGGTTTCTGATCAGGCAATATAAAAAAATAAATAAATAGATAAATAAATTAACATACTATATATGGTCTTTTTTCATAAATCACTGTTTAAAAAGGAACAAAATGCCAATATTTCAAAGTGGTCTTTTTTCATAAATCACTGTTTAAAAAGGAACAAAATGCCAATATTTCCAAGATATTTTTATCTGCAATTCTGGGCCCTTGGGGTAAGTGAGAAATGAACAGCATATACATGTTTGCAGTGATGGCTTCTATGGGGTTAATTGACATCCAAGTGTTCTACTACCAGTATCATATATATGTAAAAAGACTTCTGATACAGACTTCTGATTTATATTTGACAAACATAGGTAAAAAACTTAGGTTATAGGGTTTAAAGATTTGACACATAATTTTCTTTCATTTTCTGCAAAAATCTTTCAAAGAAAATACAATTCCGCAAGCTTATACACAATCATTTACAATACTACTTTTTACAGCACATATAATTTATAACACATAAAGCTTATACACAGCCATTTACAATACTAATGATTACTGTTACAATATTTGCTTTTATGTTTTCAGTGGTGGTAATTTCCTTGGTGATGGAACCTTTTGAATATATGGTTCTTTAGAACGTTTTTCAGGCTTCTTTTTTTTCTTCTTTTTTACCTTCCTGTAAAAAAATTGGATAGGGATTTAAAATGATGGTATTCAAAGTAATAATTGCTGAACAATATTATGGTCATTTAGAAAAAAAAACATGAAGATCAGAGAGGCAATACCCCCTCCAGTTTTTGTACCACCAGCTGGAGTAAGCACATTTGAATGGGAAAAAAATAGGACACCACCTCCAGTGTTGTGCTTGACAAGCTCCACAACATGCAATTNCTGTAAAAAAATTGGATAGGGATTTAAAATGATGGTATTCAAAGTAATAATTGCTGAACAATATTATGGTCATTTAGAAAAAAAAACATGAAGATCAGAGAGGCAATACCCCCTCCAGTTTTTGTACCACCAGCTGGAGTAAGCACATTTGAATGGGAAAAAAATAGGACACCACCTCCAGTGTTGTGCTTGACAAGCTCCACAACATGCAATTCACAAGTTCTCAATTTTTTCTTTTTTGTAAAAAATTAAAATTTAAAACAATATTGTACAGAAAAGTAAAAAGGTCAAATCTAAGGTTGCAGTAAGATTATATGAACATGACTTCCCATCAAAGTTCAATAGTTAATACAGGAGCCTGAAAATTTACAAAGTGCAGTTTATGGTGAAAAGTACGGTAGGTCAAAGGTCAAATTCAAGGTCAAAGTAAGATTCCCAGTATATTACTTCCTATTTAAGTTTAATAGTAAATATATGGGTGTATCTCTGTCAATTTTGGGTCAGAATAAAGGTCAGAATATTGGCAAAGTGCAGTTCATGATGAAAAGTAGTTCAATTCCATTATGTTTATGTTTTACGACTGCTGTTAGTGATCTCTCTCTCTCTCCTCTCTTTGTTCTACCATCTTTGTCATGCTACCACATTGTTGTGTGCAAGTAAACTTTATCTCCAATATGAGTTGTTTTATTTATTGGCACAAATGTCACAGTAGGATTGCTAATATATGAATTCCCATTATAGTTCAATAGTAAGTATGGGCTTATCTAGATCTACCAGTTTTGAAGATATAAGGGTCAGAAAATTTGCAAAGTTCAATTCATGAGGAAAAGAAGTTCAAAGGTCAATTTCAAGGTCACAGTAAGATTGTCAATACATGACTTCATATACAAGTTCAAAAGTAACTATGGGCATATTTTTGCTAATTTTGGAGTATCTCACATTTTATTTTCAACAGTCAATATTGTGATGTATATTTTGATATAGCACAACTTCTGAACTGTAAAAAAAAACACCTGTAGTATTGTGCTTGGCAAGCACTACAAAATGCAAAAACCAAGAGGTCTCTAGCATTTTCGTCTTCAGAATAAGAGTTTTTAGTTTTGGCATCTAATGGCCATGATGATGTACTGATTGACCCCAAACTCACCAAGATAAAAGATGACAACACGTGCCCATAATATTTAGGTTAGGTCTGTGCAAAAAATTCCAATCTTTTAAAGAAAATTTTGGCTTGTTTGACTTTGAAATATAGGCCAAAGGTCAAATCCCAGGGCATATTTGAAATCTCCACATACGTGACATTGTATGACTTTTGGTCAAACAGCTATAGTTATCTTTTCCATAATTCTTTTACTTTGGTAGATGTTTAGCATTTAATTTTGCACATTGTGGAGGAGGGTGTATTGTGACGAGCGTCACACCTAGACCAGTGCACAGACAAAGCCAAAAATTTACATGAATGGAGTTGAGATTATATGTGACCTACATACAAGAGATGGATACAGGGGCTCTTGGAGTCTAGGAGCTAAGAGAAGCGGTAACGGTGACGTGGCAACAGAGCTGGCAAACCAGGTGGAGGCGGCAGATGAGATGGGTCAGGAATAAAACCATATGTAACCCCAGCGCCAGGCTGGTGATACAATTAACCAAATAACAATTTGACTTATCAATAATTACTGGCAACAAAAAGCTACTACTTCTCCCCATTGATTGTAAGTGTACATTCTTACTGCATAGGGATTGTGTCACTTTCTTCCCTTGTGTTATGTCCAATACCTTCATGTAGGGGAACACCACTTTGACTTGCTGCACTGTCTTTAGAGTTGGCCGAGTTCTCTCTTCTGTAAACCAGATAATTAATACAGTAAATCACAGTGGGATAAACTGAACAACATCAATTCATGCTAAAGAAGCTTCTATGTCAATTGGAAAGGAAATGCATGATAACAATCTCTATTGCATCAGTGTTCACATGAACTGGATCTTAGAGTTATTACTTAAATTGCAATAAGTTTTAAGGTTTACTCCATAAACAAGGCTTACTTACCTTGGACAAGTTTGTGTCTCTTCAGGTGTTATAGATGCACGCCTGGTCTTACCTGTATTACATACATGAAAACTCCCTTGTAATTCGAGTGAATTTAGAGCACATTAATTCATTATTCTAAATGTTCAATTTTGAAACACCTAATGTAGGAAATATGACATTTTAAACAATATACACAATAATGCTTTGAGAAATTAATAAAAGCAAACCATTAAAAAAAAAAAAAAAAAATATATATATATATATATATATATATATACATATACTAAAAAAATATATATATATACTAAAAAAATGAAAATAAATAAAATAAAGAAATTGATATATATATACTAAAAAAATATATACTAAAAAAATGAAAATAAATAAAATAAATAAAATAAAGAAATTAATAAATAGCTAAATAAAGAATATTAAAAACATGGCAGCAAAGCTGTCAAATATATAGACAAAACGAAAAAAATATAAACAATATATATATATATATATATATATATATATATATATATATCCACAAATAAGAATATTTTGTCAACACCAAATTTTTATTATGCACAACAGGGAATATGTGGTATTTATTTTGCATTTAGTATATGCTGAATAAAAAAGAGATAAAAATAGCTTATCTTAAGGATCTTAAGGAAAAATGGTCCCATTAGGCAGATTTTCATTCTCGAACAGCATATAAATAATGTTGATCACTCATGTAAGTCTGAGGACAATAGAGCTATCAATTTTCCTTAAAATGTATTATCTGTATTGCATAAAGTATAAAACATGTTGAAAAAAACTAAATAAAATAACTTCAAGAAAAATGGTACGATCTGGTTGATTTTTAAACTCAGCCTATATTTTAGTAACATTGATCTCCCAACCTCAATTATAGGTTCGAAAGCTAATGAAAAAAATAATAAATAAAACTGAAGCTGTATTAATGTCCTACAACCCTTTTAATCTTGAGCGTCATACATGACATGGTTTTCCATTATGGTCATTTTGGCACCATGGAAGTCCAAAGTCACACCTTGAAAATGCCAATATGTGAAAAATTAACATTTCACAGAAAACTGAATTATTACTACCCATGAAGACACCAATTAGACTGGTTTTCCAATGCAAGCTGTATTTAAGACCCCATTTCCAGAGATTAGATCAATCTGGGGGTTCACGCTAAATAGCTGTCAGCCAAGCGGACACGAAAGTTAATTACCCCCTTACAGCTTGTAGTAGGCGGGACGGACATTTAAGCAGGATTATCTGACAGTAATCTAGTGAGACTCCCCGCGGGGATACATCGATCTAAAAGCTCTGGGAATACAGCCTTAGTCTTGTGTTTCCTTTCTACAAGTTTCAGAACAGACAGTGACATGGTTTTCCTTAAATGGTCCCTGTCGGGGAAATTTTCTTCAATATTGATGCAAAATTGCATAATGCTTAACGACAGAATCACCACCAATTTTTCATTATGCTATGCTAGTAAAATAGATATTAAAATAAAAAATTGACTAGCAAAGGTGGTGAAGCCCATGGAAGTTCAAAGTCACACCTGCATAACTTCATGAAAAATTATCTGCTCCCGTTTCACAAAGAATCTTAAATACGTAGTTGACTAGCTCGAGCTGAGTGACCTAGCTAGGCTACGTTGCAGTCGACTAGGAGTGTTTCACAAAGAATCTTAAGTCCTAGCTAGGTATGTTTACTGTAGTCGATACGCACAACAAATTCTTCAAGAAAAGGAGATGTAAAAACAAGACATGATGTTTCTTGGCCTCTTTCGGCCAAGAATGATCATTTATCAACAATAAAAATCAGCCAAAACAGTAAGTTTGTTCTTGAACTTTACATGCTGAAAAAAGGGAGAAAAAAGCACAAGTTTCAGAAAAATGGTTTGATCAAGCTGATTTTCAAACTTGACTTGCATTTTATGAACATTCATCAGGTCTGTTAGTTTGAAGACAAAAGGTCAAACATTTTTCCACTTATCGTGTTATCAATGAAAATGCATGATGACAAGGGCAACAAGATGCAGATGATGGCTTAAAAAAAGTAAAATATAGATGCAACATAATATACACTATATATTTTTTCAAAATATCTGTTATTAGTACATCTAGTATTAGCTACATGCATCTTAACCCCATTAGGGTGTTAGTATAGTTAGTAAATATGGCACTTCTATCACACTGATGGATCTACATGTACAGCCAAGTTGAAAAATTGATGACCCTGAGAAGACCCTTTCCAAAGAAATGTTCTTTTTTTGGGAACCTCAACTTAGCAACTTCAGCTACCTTGAACTTTTCTTACAATCAAAAATAGGACAAACAATATATCTATATCAAGTGTAAAGGGATAATAACTCTTCGTTCTGGCCAAAAAATAAATTTTCCTGGAGTAAACAACAATTTTCCCATACTTACCAATGGTTAATGAATCCATTTTTGCATTCAAAGTTAGTCCCTGTTTTTTTTTCTAAAAAGTTTTTTTTTTTTTTGTAATAATCTCTTAAGAAATTATACCACAGTATAGTCATCAATGGAGGTCATGTGGTCTTAAGACAAGCTCAGATCTCAGAATAAAAGCTATAACTGCCATTTTTGTGGTACAACAGAATATATTGTATTTCTATAAGTTGTTCACAATGTTTTTATTGTGAAATATAGATCTCATATAAAGAGTTATTATCCCTTTAATAAAAGCAAGAATTCCAATTTAAATTGTCTAACTTATCAGAGCAAATTCCAATTCATACTATCTAACTTATCAGAGCAAATATGTACTGGGGGAAAATCAATAAAATATTGATATGCAAGAAATGCATCACCAACAAAACTGCAAACCAATTACCTTATGTCCATAATGCACCAAATGCACCTTCTGCATTTACGAAGGGGTTCAAATTGTTACTTTGCCATTCAACTTTTTGATAAGTATCTTATCCAGAATAACAGTACTGAAACAATATTTTATCCATGTCGGGAGAGGCGATGGTGCATATGCATGGTCCCATACACACATCAAGTTTACCAGCCCTCCATCTCTGCTCAGCTTAGGGTCACATATTCTAATGTCTATAGCAATCTTTCAATCCCCTCTCTACCTTAATTGATACCATACTAGTGGACAATGTCATGAGCATGGGCTAGTGAACAGATCAATCTTGACTGACTTACACATAATTATAATCCTACTCAAATTAGCACCTAATTTGCCAACACAGTTTTAGATGTTATTTAACAAAATATATTTCTTAATAATAAAAGAACATATGGATAAATAAAATAGGCATCAAATATGGCAAATATAAAAACATTCAACAAAGCAATTCAATGAAACTGATTCAATTACATCAAAGTAAGATTTGGGACATATCCAGTACTTAAAAAGATAAAGTTATAATCTGGGTATACATTTGTAGTGTCAGACTCTATAAGACCAAAATAATAAGAAAACAATTACGGGTTACAGCATAACAGCAGTTGAAAGTTAAAGAAAAAAAGGAAATGAAGAAGCCAACATGCAGCTGTAAGTTTACAAGTTAAGAAAAGCCATAATTAAAATAAGGGTGAAAAAGGAAAAACTTCAAATGTTATATGAATTGCAGAAAATACTATGATACACTCCACCCCAGATTTTGCACACATAGGTGTTTAATATAATTTTAACTGTACAACTCTGTTAACAAATAAAATTAAAGTCAGTCTACTTTGTACCATTTTTACAGCTGAAAGCAATGGCTATGCCTGCACTGACTCCACCAAATGTAGCCACTGACAGCACAATGTTTGGCAGCTTCACAAGGATATCTCTAAGCACTTTGTCTGAAAAATAAAAATGATCAATATAGTTACCCAGACTTTACATGTTACAGTCATGTAGGTAATGCCATGAAGAATGGAGTAGAGATTAATATTTGTAATTATTATTATATTATTTTTATATTATTATTATATATTTATGAATTAAGTTGGCACAAAAAACATTTTTCACATAGACTGGGTTCCCCTCCCTAGATCGATCGAACAGGGTCAGTCCTTCTCCACTGGGTTTCTCGCTAAATTACTTTCAGCTTAAGTGGCTTAGATGTCTGGGATGCCTACTAAAGTTGCTAACACTAGTGGGCTTGATTTGGTCTTTAAGTGCAATTTAAGATCACAGATCTTAAACCATGAGTACGACCATTTCTGGTCTGACAGCCAATTAAGTTGTCTCCCCTTACACATTCTCCTATTGTGAGCAGAGGTGTCCTCTATTGTGAGGTGAGGTATTCCCCATTATGAGGGGAGGAAACTGCTTGACCACTTAAGCAGATTCAGTCCATTTTAAGACTACTGCTATAATGATAAAGATTGTGTAAGATCATTTGTGATCTTAAATTTTACTTTTTAAGTATTTTATTTTAAAAAATAACAAATCCAGCAAACTAGTGTAAAGGACAGTTAATTACCCCCTAACAGCTTCAGTAGGCGTGACAGACATCTAAGTCGCTTAAGTTAATTGCAATTAAGTGAGAACCTCCATGAAGATAGATGGATCCAAAGTTAGTACGATATCTCTGGGAATGGTTTCATATACACCAAGTGTTTCCAGGAACAAAAACACATATAAAACATATTTAAATCTTCTCCATGCATTTGCCTAAAAGTATTAAAATAAGGACACATCAACAAAACATGTAGCATCCCACAAAACATACCTGATTAATATACCAGCAAATGCACACAATGACCTTAATAAAACCTTAATGTATGAACTGCAGTTAATTTGCAGCACACTATTTCCTAAAAAAAAGTTAAAAGTTAAGTCTAATGACCACACTTTGCTTAAATTAAATATAGTACAGTTAACATTGCAGCACTGGTATCCTAAAAACGGTTAGAATCTGCATGGACAAAAACCGCAAAACATACCTTTATCCTGTGTCTGTTCTTTCCAATCTTTGATCATGCCAACAACAATACCCAGGATAAAAAATCCAAGATCACTGAGGATTATTACCAGTACAATAATTCCAACATCCTGATCTGGAAAAAAAATATATTAAAGATGGCCAGGTCCATATTATCAGTTTAACTAAGAAAGCTACTTTTTACAGGACAGCTAGATGTTGACCATACAATGTGAGAATTGAACTACATACTAGTTCATACATTAAGTTAATACATTTGCACAGCTTTTATGTTCCAAAAACAAAACATATCTTAATAAAAAAATGTAAGTACTAGGATCAACTGTCCTCCACAAAACTCCTCCACAGATGTTGCCCAAAATAACACAGAGGAAGACCACTGTTATGCAAATGCAATCAACTATGCATTTAAGTGACGATGCCTTGTCTGAAATATCAAGGTAAGATCTATGTAAATGAGTAAATGAAAACGAACATAAATGTATAAAGACCATAACCTGGTCAAAGTATAACATATTTTATGTGTTACACAATGAAATAATATTGTACACTGGGAAATTTTACCAGTTGGCAAACTTTTACTGGACAGGTATATAATTCATGGTTTTCTTAATAGATCATGTTTGAAAACACAATCATAAAATTATAGGAATTGTAAGAGAAGAATGGGATTTTTAAGTTGTTTGCTTGTCATTTAACAACCTGTCATATACATGTGCATATGTGAACATCAACATCAAGTTATAATAAGTCTATAGGTAGCAACATGATTACAATTGGTACTTTACCTGGATATTTAATGCATACAAAAATGCACACTGAGCAACTGCCGATCAAACTGATGATGATCAATGTTACAAGGGCAGCCACCAATGCAGGTTTATTATCTGGAGGCACTGCAAATATAAAACATAAAACAGCTGATGCAGTAATATACATATATATTGCTATGTATACTTACATTACAAGCAAAAACAAACTTTTTAACTATAACAAATTATATTATTTCACATGATTAAAAAAAGACAGCAAAGCTGGCAAATATACAGACGTTATGTAGAAAAAAGTGCATAAAATATTTTTCGGCCAATTTAGATGCACTGGTATGTAAAGCTTTAAAATAGCATAATCACTCTTACCCTCTTACAATACGTACTAAAGGTAAAATGGCCATTGGAAAACTGGCAAATGATTCAATTCCATATGATATAATAGCCACTGAAAATGGTTATGTGTGAAAAATGAAAACTTCGCACCTTAAAAACAGAATTATTACCATAAATGTAAACTGATAATGCTGACTTTCAAAAACAACCTGCCGCTTTATCAAACAAAACCACTCAGTAAATTTAAAGTAAAACAAAAACAAGGTTTAGAAGTCACGGGTGAATCTCATTAAAACTGTGCAAAAAAAAAAAATAATAATAAATAAATAAATAATAATAATAATAATAATAAAAATAAAAAAAGTAAAAAAATAAATAATTATATAAATGTGTAACGATCATGCTGATTTTCGTGAGCAACCTGCCTCCCTAGCTAACAGAGCCACTCAGTAAATTTGGAGAAAAAAAATGGTTTGGCAGTTATGTGGAGAATGTCAAGTGTCAGACAGCAACAGACCAATCAGAATATATACAGATACAGTGTCTGTATATAAAAATCAGCAAACCATTTTGTATTTAAGTTAAAATGTATGTACAATTCCCCTAATATTTATGGCTAAATTATTACCAGAATGCTGACATTTTCAAGCATTTTAACAAAATGTTATGCTTGCAATTTTGTGACATAGCTTAAAATGTATCATTCGTCATAAATAATAGACAAACTGAACATTATTTTATCATTTTAATTCTAATCTCATACCTAAACACAGGAGACTAGTGCATTTGGTATACAGTGCATTTGGTGTGATACAAATATATCTACTTTTTAATTAGCTCGTCATATCACTTGGATGAGACAAATATTCTTTGAACTTCAATCACCCCATTTATAAACAAATGAATAAATAAATATCAAATAAATAATGATACATTTCATACATACAATTTGACCAACAGAAGGAAAGCACTTTTCTATGAATTTCACTGGATAATATTTCTATTGGATAATACTGTAACCATCTGGTGAGTTATCTTTTGAATAAAATAATGTCTCCCAAAACTCAGGTGCTAAATTTTGTCTCAGATATGCTATTCGGGATAGTTGAAATGGTTGCTATCTTCAAAACTAGGTGCTGCTGTGCTATTCAAACTTGAAATACAGGTAAATAATTAGTCGTGTAAGAAAACTGACTGCATCCACATTCAGATGTCAAACATAACAGTGTCACCTGTATATGTCTGCAGACCTTTTTGCTAGCTTCCAACTTCAAAGACAGAGATACACCTAAAGCATTTATAATGTAGTATCTACCATCAATTTATAAGCTCAGTACCTACCACCAATAGGAAAATTTAAGGGACAATACCATCAAAAGAAGAGAAGCAATAGATGACAACCAGTACATTAAGCAGCTTCATTTTTATTCTGTGATAAATAGGAAGCAGTGATTAAATAAACAATTGTCAATTTCAGGGTGCAGGTGAAATAAATCATTAAAAAAATTATCAAAGCTGCAAAATTCAAACATAAAATTGTTGGCCACCTTGGTTACAATCAAAGAAAGATGAAAAATATTTCTAGTACTAGTATAAAGAAGTGAATGGCTCAATTTCAGGAAGCACACATACAGTACATGTTACATTGAGCAGGAAGGGTAACACAAAGAATGCTGCAATCTAGTCTCTCTTTCAAGTTTTGCATAATAATATTTTGCCCAAATAAATAAAAACACAACCCAGGATTACAATTTGATTCATGTAGCATAACTGAAGAAACACCATACTTAAAGTACTAGTAGCCGTGAGCTGTAGTGTGGTGCTGCCCCCTAGGGTTATGTTAGACAATGAACCAGAAGTAGTAGTGCTGTTAGATTCACCAACTGTACTAATACCCATGGTGCAGGTACTACCTGTTGTGCTAATGACTTCTGTCATTCCTGTGGTGGTTGGAGGACCTAAAACATGCATGTCATCGAATGTTGGCATATTAATTTTTTCAAGCAATTAAATTGTATATGTATATAATATGTTTTAAGTTTCTTACTTTTCTGAATGTAGGTTCTACATATAGAGCACTTAAACAATCAGCATCATATTTTGAGAGAGGATATAATTTACAAATTAATTTTTTTCTGATAATTCATATCTCTTCTACAACCCTGGCCTGCTTTTTGAAATTTTAAGTCCAGCTGTCAGATGCTACTACGTGTTGTTACATGTAACAATAACTCTCATTGCAAACAATCATTCAAACTTACATGTAGTTCATGGTTGGAATAACACTTTTCCAAAAAAAAAAAAAGCAAAAAAAAAAAAAAAAAAAAGTCAGTTTGTAAAAGCAAAACCAAAATTAAAATGAGAAATTAAATCTGCAATTGTCATATGTATCAGATGGGTTTTAATAAAACAAATATTTTAATTATTACACAAAAAAATTTAGTACTCAAACTGACAAATATCAAATAAAATCACATAAACATAACAAAAAGTGGAAAGTAACTTAAAAACCCAGAAAAAAGAAACTACACTTAATTTAACTTTGGAAAAAATGACACAAATCAGCCATGCTACCAGTTCTAGTATGACTGATTTGTCTACAGCATGAACAAAGATAAGCAGAGACTCACTTTTATGTTAGTCTAATGATATAAAAAAAAAAACCTACATAAAGTGATATTTCAAAAGCTTTAAACAGTTAATCAATATAAAGAATATCTGAGCATTATACATAAAAAAGGTAGGTAATAGATGAAACTACACTCTGCAATCACTTCATTTTCAACTGAAATCTGACTTGTAAGAATAATTAAAACTTTCATTAACAGGAAAAGCTAATTTTTCTTTACATGTGTTCATTTGTTAGACAATACTCTGAGCTTCAAACATGATACCTGCCAATTTCTATATTTCTATACCAATGATTAAAAACTGCACTTACACCTAGACCAGCATTTGATCAAAGTTAGTATGTGTACAAGCACATGTAGTACCATGCTGATTATAAATACTCCTTTCATCAACTGAATTTTTTATTTCTGTAAAAGGACATGCAATGCTCATGTAGCTCACAGACTTATTTAAGTTGTGCTTTACATTCAGACAAATTTGGTAAAATGACACCAATTAAATTCTCTATTAATATTAATGCATCTTACAATCTTGCCATTTCAAACAAAGAATCAAGCTCTCAAAGTGAAAAGGCGGAAACTCCCTCATGATAACAATAATTTACTTCTTAATTATGGTATGCATTATGTTATCCAAACAGGAAAAAAGATGTGCTTTATCATCTGCAATCGATGACTGAGGGTCACAGTGCTTAGAAGGCGTTTGTGGTATTTTGTGGAAACATGAACATGAAACTAGCCAACATCAATGCTGAAGCCCCTCTAAGCAGAAATAATAAAATGCAAACTTACTATAAAAGACTTAAACATTTTACATTGTATTGCATTTTTTACAATGTATCCTTTTTTGGTCAGCACTAAAAGGATTCTAACAATTCAATAAATGAATTAATTCACTGTTAATTACTTATAAAATGATGTTAGTGTTGAAATATTATCAATAATTTAGACTACTGTAACAAATATATACACTGTTAAAGTTGTAGAAAACTGTTAAAAAGAAGAGAGAAAAATGTTAACATGAGTATTGCTATTAGAGTTAGCTTCAGTGGATGGGAAAGTGAAAGATATTGAACAATTAAGAGGAACACAAAAGGGCAGATATACCAGAACAGACCTTTCTGGATGTCAAAACATGACAACAGAAGCATTCAAACTATGACACAGTTTCAAGTTTCCAAGATTTAGCTGGCCCATTTTGTTTACTATGGTAGCGAAGGACCTTAACTTTATTTGTTCATATCCAGAAAGGTCTATAGTAACTTCAGACCAGGTAACTTGCACACAATGACTACAGCAATTCAAGTACCTTACCAATGACTTGAATGTGAAATCTTTTGAAATCATAGGCTCCAGTGGATGATGAGGCATTACATATGTACCAGCCACTGTCAGAAACTGCAGCATTTGATATGTTTAAAAATGAGCTGTTACTGACAATGTCTCCTGTAGCCTCCTTTATCCATTCTATAACTGGGGTTGGGAATCCATATGCCTCACAGTTAATTCCATAACTTTGTCCAACAGTGAGTGTTTGATTATCTAGGCCTGATGTTATATTTGGGTCAACTAATGAAAAAAAGTGGAACTTAGTTGTGTAAGTCAAAAAATCCATTTTGGTCATATTATATAGAACAATTCATTTGACAATATATATGTCTGCATAAATAACTTTGAGAAACTTAAAAACAGTGCAATAATACAGGGTGATCCCCTCCTTTACAC